GTTGACAGTAAAAAGATGAAGCTGGACAAAGGCCTTTTGGGGGCCCCGGAGGCCAATGCGGAAGGCGGGGACCTTAAGATAAAGACTGAACCCACCTCTGGGAGAGTCCCGGCCTCTGGGAGAGTCCCGGGATTATTAAAAGGCGGGGAAATGAAAGCCACCATCAAAGTGGAGGTGCAGACGGGGGACGAGCCGGTGGACATGAGCACTTCGAAAAGGTAGGTGGCCGTCGAGGCAGTGGTTACTCTTGATTCTGCGATTCTGGGTTGTGGCGGCATTAGAGTTCCAGGAATCTCAAAAGCGATGCTGTTTTGCATGTGCAGGATTACCCCTGGAGTTCACGGCTGCAAAAGCAGCGGCTTAGAGGCCTAGACCCACAGAGGCTGGTTTTGCTAGTCGCTGGGTTAAACTGCCACGATCAGAGGCACTCTACCTCAGAGTCCCCGGAGGATTGTGACTGTTTTTGCAAACTTTCCAGAAGCATCGGGCCGGGTGCTGTCGGGGCTGGCTTCGTGCCCGGCGGACCTTGGCCTGGCTCTGTCTTCCGAAGCCGACCTCCGAGGGCCCGATTCATTGCGATGGCTTCCCGCGGATAATTCAGGCATCATGAATGGCGCAACTCCAGTAACCCCATAGTATTTCTGACCTCTGGGAACCAACCCCCACCAGTGCCCATGAGGCCAGATGCTTTCCTCTTAGGTGCCGCCGCCGTATCAACGAATGTTTGGGTTGAAAAGGAAATAGAGGAGGGGGAGCGTCTGAATCGAACTTCCTCAGCAAGGGGTGGAAAGTTTTCAGTCCGCAGTTGTCCTAAACCATGTGGCTTTGGGGGGGGGGCTCTCTTTATTTTGGCACGAAACACACACCTTCCCCGAAGTAGTTTCCCCAAACTGTGGAGCGTCCTGTGATTTCACCCCTTTTTCACATCCCCTTCCTACAAGGACCCAAGGAGAAGCCTACAAGCTACGGCAGAAAGAAGAAGAAGAGGAGATTGGATTTATACCCCACCCTTCACTACCCAAGGGTGTCTCAGAGCGGCTTACAAACTCCTTTCCCTTCCCCTCCCCACAGCAGACACCCTGTGAGGTAGGTGGGGCTGAGAGAGCTCTTGACATAAACGGCTCTTTTTCAAGGACAGCTCTTATCAGAGCTACGGCTTGCCCAAGGCCATCCAAGTGGAGGACTGGGGGAATCAAACCCAGTTCTCCCAGATTAGAGTCCGCCCTCCCCACAGCAGACACTCTGTGAGGTAGGTGGGGCTGAGAGAGCTCTTGACAGAAACTGCTCTTTTTCAAGAACAGCCCTTATCAGAACTACGGCTTGCCCAAGGCCATCCAGCCAGGTGCAAGTGGAGGGAGTGGGGAATCAAACCCGGTTCTCCCTGATTAGAGTCCGGGCACTTAACCACTACACCAACCTGGGTGTGTATGTGTGCGTTTAAGTTCAGCTGCTGTGGGTGGGCAGGACTGTGGCTCAGTGGCGGAGCACTTCCTCCGATGGCAGGTTCAATCCTCAGCACCGTCAGTTCAGGAACTTCAGGCATTAGCTTACTTCCAGAAAAGGCTTTTCTCTTCCCAAGACCCCGAGGACGAGACGGAACTCGAGACCTCAGAGTTGGTATCGTAAGGCAAAATTGTACCTTGGTTTACACATGAAAAAGGGACTTCTTGCTCGCGGTTTTGCCTTTTCCCTCCCATCAGGCCGCAGCCGACTTACGGCAACTCCGTAGGGGCTTCCAAGGCAGGAGACGTTCAGAGGTGGCTTTGCCGTCGCCTGCCTCTGTGTAGCGACCCTGGACTTCCCTGGTGGTCGGGGGCGGATGAAGGTTCACCGGCGCCCTAAGCGCTGACCCATCTTGGTGCCCCCCCCTCCTTTCCACACTGACCCAGCCCATTTTAGTTGCTGGCCTGTCTGACCAGCTATACAATGCAGGTTGCAGCAATACCAAAATGTATTCATAGGATAACACCATAGACTGAACAAACTAAGCTTTTCGCCCTTTCTCCAACTTTGTGGTGCCCCCTTTGGCCCTGGTGCCCAAAGAAGAAGAAGAAGAAGAGTTTGGATTTATACCCCGCCCTTCACTACCCAGTGGAGTCTCAGAGTGGCTCAGAGCGGCTTCCAAACTCCTTCCCCTCCCCACAACAGACACCCTGTGAGGGAGGCGGGGCTGAGAGAGCTCTGACAGAAACTGCTCTTTTTCAAGAACAACTCTTATCAGAACTACGGCTTGCCCAAGGTCATCCAGCCAGGTGCAAGTGGAGGAGTGGGGAATCAAACCCGGTTCTCCCAGATTAGAGTCCGCACACTCAACCACCACACCAAACTGGCTCTGAAGGCAGGGGCGGATGAAGGCTCACCGGTGCCCTAAGCGCTGACCAATCGTGGTGCCCCCCTCCTTTCCACACTGACCCAGACCATTTTAGTTGCTGACCTGTCTGACCAGATGTACAATGCAGGTTGCAGCATACAAAAATTTATTCATAGGATAACACCATAGACTGTACAAACTAAGCTTTCCGCCCTTTCCCCAACTTTGTGGGGGCCCCTTTGGCCCTGGTGCCCTAAGCACGTGCTTGGTCTGCTTCATGGTTAATCCGCCCCTGTTGGTGGTCCCCCATCCAGTTGCTAACCAGGACTGGCCCTGCTTAGCTTCTGAGATCTGGTGAGATCCAGGTAGCTTGGGGGCTGTCTGAGTCAAGACCAGTGTTCCCTCTAAGCTGAGTTAGTGTGTGCTAGCTCACAGTTTTTTCGCCTCCGGCTCACAGTTTGGTGAGAGCCAGTTTGGTGAAGTGGTTAAGTGTGCAGACTCTAATCTGGGAGAACCGGGTTTGATTCCCCACTCCTCCACTTGCACCTGCTGATGTGACCTTGGGTCAGTCACAAGCTCTGTCAGAGCTGTCCTTGAAAAAGAGCAGTTTCTGTCAGAGTTCTCTCAGCCCCACCTACCTCCCAGGGTGTCTGTTGTGGGGAGGGGAAGGGAAAGGAGTTTGTAAGCCGCTCTGAGACTCCAAGTGAAGGGCGGGATATAAATCCAATCTCTTCTTCTTATTATTATTAGCTCAGGAAGGAGGGCTCCAGAGCAAACTGATTGATGCAGCCGCCAAATTGCTCGCTCACAATTTTAATGCCAGGAGCTCACAAAGTAGAATTTTTGCTCAGAAGGCTCCACCGCTTAGAGGGAACATTGGTCAAGACACAGGTCAGCTTTTGCCATGCACAAGTTTTAATGGCCCTTCTGCCCAAAGGGCTGAACCTCATTGAGAAAGAGGATAATCCTTCAGGTGCCGCCTTCCTAGGAGCTCAGGTCAACAGACCCGGGTGGTGTTCTGTTTTTTCTCTCACAATACTCCTGCAAGGAGGTAAGGAAGGCTGCAAGAAGCTGACCGGCCCGAGGTTCACCCCCCCCCCCCAGCTTGAAATAACACACAAGCTGAACCTGAGAACGTACCAAAACAAGTACGCAAGTTGAATATATTTTTTTTATTTATTTATTTATTCAATTTGCCAGAGCCAGTTTGGTGTAGTGGTTAAGTACGCAGACTCTAATTTGGGAGAACCGGGTTTGATTCCCCACTCCTCCACTTGCAGCTGCTGATGTGACCTTGTAGTTCTTATAAGAGCTGTCCTTGAAAAAGAGCAGTTTCTGTCAAGAGCTTTCGCGGCCCCACCTACCTCCCAGAGGGTGTCTGTTGTGGGGTAGGGGAAGGGAAAGAAGTTTAAAAGCCGCTCTGAGACACCTTCGGGTAGTGAAGGGCGGGGTATAAATCCAATCTCTTCTTCTTCGATTTGTACCCCGCCCTCCCCGCGAGCAAGCTCAGGGCAGCTCACACAGTCGGTACAAAATACCAATAAACCCCCATAAAATCACATTAAAACAATTCAGATACAAATGAGTCATAAAATCATAGGTGCTAATTGTCCATCATTAGTTAATTGAGATGGCGTACTAAGAGTGTTGCAAGCAGACAATCCAGCTCATGGCCTTCTTGAGTCGCAGGCCAGATGTCAGGCAGAGGGCCGGGCTCGTTGATGGTAATGCTCGGGGCAGCTCCTAGTCGAAAGCCTGGTGGAAGAGCTCCGTTTTGCAGCCCCTGCGGAACTGTGAGAGGTCTTGACGCTGGTGAGCGTTTCTCCCCCTTTCCCACTCACTCACAGACATTAAGAGGGAGGAAAGTGTTTCCAGATGATGCGTCGGTTGAGAAATTGCTGTCGGGATTCTCACAACTTTTAACACAATGCCTTTGGGGCGTGCAGACGACCCTGTTGGAGCCTGTGAACTGCCCTCAGTAGAGGGCAGACCCTCAATCGGTTTCACTAGCACCGTCTACACTTTTGCTGCCAGAAGTGGCCTTTCTGGGTCTCAGACAGAGAAAGGGCCTCTTCTAGGACCTGCTACCTGCAGCCCTTTTACCTGGAGGTGCCAGGAATTGAACCCGGTACATTCTGCATGCGAAGCACGGAGTCGTTCTGCCACTGAGGCCCGGGGCCCTTGCTCAGTGTGTCGATAGTATCCTGTGACCAGTAGGCTGAGAGCACC